TGTGCCGACTGAGTGAAATCCATCGATCTCCGTTTATTTAACTAGGATGAATAGTTGAATACTTTTTTCCCACGACAGTACGTTTCGATTTCTTTTACTGAAAAATATTCTGCAGTTAGACTGAAATTGTGTCATGTTTTGACACATCAACAAATTAGAATAAAAAGTTTCATTACATATATATATATATATATATATATATATATATAAACTTATTAGGAATTAAATACAGCTGATATCAATTTAAAATGCAAAAAATGTGGGAATGTTTGGTATATCGTGTTGAAATGTTTTAGCCCAAACCGTCATGGAGAAGAATGCTTACTTGTTGATTTTCTTTTGTGCCAAATAAGCTGATTCACATACATGCATCTTAATGGAAAGTTTTGTGGAAGGAAAAACTAGAGTTGAAAATATGCTTATGGGATAATGTGGCGAAAAACTGCTGGATTTCTTGTATTAAGCCACTTCTGAAGCAGAGGTTACATCAGGAAATAGGCTCAGAAAAAGACTGGATTGCTTTATCCTGATCTAAATCCTTGCCTAGGACTGCAAATACATAACAATGGACATAAAGTAAAAGTTTAATATAATCTGAGCAATTAAGACGAAGAGAAAAATATATTGGAAAAATGCAATTCTACTGAATCCATACAGTATGAGTTTAAGGTTTTGAGTTTTTTTTTTTTTCATATTTATTGGGATTTACTAAGTATGGAAGAGGATTAGGAACACTGGAAAATAAAATAATAATAAAAAAAGTAACCTAATTTTTTTATATATAACTTGAGTTTAATATGGGGACAAAATCAGAATACTGGGATTAAAGTCAGTAAAATCTGAGAATTCTGACTTTAATCTCGGAACAATGAGATTAAAGTCAGACTTCTGACTTTTTTCCATGGAAGAGCATTAGGGTCACTGGAAAAAGTATAGTTTTTTATTTTATTTTTTTATTATTTTGAGTTTAATATGTGTGTGTGTGTGTGTGGGGGGGGTCTGAATTCTGAGATTAAAGTCCGAATTCTGGGTTTAAAGTCTGAATTCTGACTTTTTTTTCCATGGGAGAGCATTAGGGTCACTGGAAAAAAGATAAAAAAGTTTTCTTATTTTGAGTTTAATATGGGAAAAAAAAAATCTGAATTCTGAGATTAAAGTCAGAATTCTGACTTTTTTCCCATGGGACAGCATTAGGGTCACTGGAAAAACTATAACGTTTTTTTATTTTGAGTTTAATATGGAAAAAAAAAAAATCTGAATTCTGAGATTAAACTGACTTTAATCTCAAATTTCAGATTTTTTTTATGGTAAAAAAAAAAATCAGAATTCTGGAATTAAAGTCGGAATTCTGACTTTTTTCCATGGAAGAGCATTAGGGTCACTGGAAAAACTATAATTTTTAATTTTTTTTATTTTGAGTTTAATATGGGGGGGATTCAGAATTCTGAGATTAAAGTCCGAATTCTGGGTTTAAAGTCTGAATTCTGACTTTTTTTTTCCATGGGAGAGCATTAGGGTCACTGGAAAAAAAGATTAAAAAAAAAGTTTTTTTATTTTGCTTTTAATATGGGGGGAAAAAAATCTGAATTCTGAGATTAAAGCCAGAATTCTGGCTTTTTGTCCATCTTAAATAAAATAAAAACTCTTGTCAACTTTTTAAATTTTTTCATCCAATGGCCTCATCCTCTTCTGCAACTAATAGACCTACTTGCAATCATTTTTTTTGTACTAATTTAACAAACAATAAACATTTGTTTTCCTGTTATGCAGGACTGTGATCATCCATCACATTTAAATAAATGTTGTTATGGACCAAAACAAACAACATGAATATGCAACGCACAAATAAAAATAAATGATTGACATGCATGACGTATTTCAGTTTATAACCATTTATAAATATGTTCTTTTTTTAATACATAGTTGGGACTGTACATGTTACAATCAGTTATCATGAGATAAAAACACATTCTTTTTTAACATTTTTAATGAAACTTTTGTTTGTTTTTTTAATCACAGCGATCTGAAAGCTCACATTTACAGACAAGAGAACTCTGCTCAGCAAGCAAATACGTTAACCTAAAATAAAGGAAATCTGGTACTCGTCTGGAGCGGCTGAAGGAAAATGATGCGGACAGTTCAGGGACAGCAGTGGTCTCCTTATCTGAATCCTGATACCGTATCACACACTGCTATACATGTTTCTGCTGGAGATTCATGGAAAGAATAGAACATGCGTCGAACTATTTACAGCAAACTAATTTACACGTACAGCTCAAAGTCGATTCCCACAGCTGGATAGAGTAGGGTAGTTTCTCACCTCCATTTCTACTTTTCCAAAATATACCAATAACCTCTTATTCCTTCAAATATGGAGTTTCTGGAAAAATAATCCCAAGCTCTATCATTATAATTACTCCGTTTCAGCAAATTTAATATTTTTCCACATTTGTGCATTAAAGAAGCTGCTTTAACAGATCGGTTTTAGTTTGAAGAAGGTGAAACATGATTTGACCTAAAACTAACCCACAGATCCCAGCTGGACCGATCGCAGTATCTAAACCCTTATATACAACTTGTGCTAGAAAGTCTATACATCCTCGCCAGTTTTTAAAAACGTATATTTTCTCCTCTTACCATCAATCACAACCGGTTGAAAAAAAAATGATACAGTAATGTTATCTATATGACAGTCTGGCTGCACGCACACCCACGCTCTCCAAATTCAACAAGCGCAACAAACCAAAAGTAGGTAAAATATATAAAGTGCACCCTTAGTTCAGAATGTAAGACGCATTCTTAAAGCAGAACTGGCTGGAAAAGAATGGAAATAAAAAAAGCAGAAGGGGGGGTGGGGTGGGTGTACACTG